CCAGTACACACACAAAAAAGATCTAAAAACTAGATAGACATTGAATATGTTGATCGACTAAACTACGTCAGACTTTCAAAATCGAAGTCAGACGCGAAGAACAACCCCGACCAGTTCATTATATATCATAAACAGCAAAAAGAAAGAGAAAAACATAGACCTTGGAGAGATTTAAATCGTATCCACGTTAAAATTTCGGGGTCTTTTCACAAAGACATTAAACCGTCTTAATCATGTCATTAATAATATCATACCCATCAATTATGATGGGTAGAGGAATGATGCAAAGCAAAACTAACCCAAAAACCCGAAGCAGCGAACCTACATCAACCTACAGTATTCTTAAAAATGGAAGCAAAAACAAGATTTTATCGACAAACTAGTCAAACTTTACTAGTATGTTATCCAGGGTTCGGCGGGAGGGATCTATCCCCGCTTCTTACAGATCCGATTCGGAATCACCGCGATCCAACTCTGATTTACATCAAGGAACATCGAATCGCCGGAGATTCGCTGAGATCGGCCGGTAATTAGAAACGGAAAATCCACTCGGTTTCCTTCGGCGAAAACAAGCTTGGAGGAAGAAGAAGATAGGATAACTCACCCTCGCTGCTGCCGCTACCGCTGCCGCGCCGCTCACCGGGAGCTACTGCTCGGTTACTGCTATTCGGTCGCTGCCTCTCCTGCTCACCGTTCGTCGGCGCTTCGAGGGATGACGATTGAGGCCAAGATGTTAGGGGAGGGATGGAGAGAGAGAGAGAGAGAGAGAGAGAGAGAGAGAGGAAGAGGAGCCCACGTTTTCGTCGTACGTGTCCAAGATTTTTGTTTCCCGAAAATATTTTAAAATAAATTTTAATTGATTTTCTTATAAAATACTTATATTTTGGGTATTTCCCAAATGTACCTTTTTTTCAAATAGTATGTATAATTTATCTCAATTTTTTTTCCATCAAATTATATCATTCATTTTTTTTTCTAGTTTTAAACTACCATAGTGTTTTTATTTGGCACATTTATAGTATTTTTTAATAATATTTATAGTATTTTATTAATATATTAAAAATACTGTAAATAACTTTTTTTTTTAGCTCATATCATATTTTTAAGCATGTAGTTGATTTGGTTAAGGCTAAAAATTTATTTAGATTATTTACAGTATTTTCGAATATATCTTATAATGTTTTTATTATGATGATAAAAAATGAAGTAATAAGTTAATTTTTATTTTTATTTAGGTGATGTTAATTCTAAATTATTATAAATACATATTTGAGTAATAATATGATATATCAAATAATTTTTAGTATACTTTGATTTTATTTGATTTATTTATAATATTTTTAGTGACTATAATACTATAAAAGATCAAAAACATTATAACATACAGAAAATTTTGTAAATGACAATTTGTGGAGTTTTAAATTAGTGATAATATTTGAAAAAATAAAATGGGGGTACTAATTGAGAAATACTCAAAATGTGAGTATTTTTTAGGAAAATCACCTTTATATTAAAGAAGAGTTTGTAAAAAGATATACACATTTGACTTGAAAATTAAGAACAATCAATATATACACCTTATTTAGGTTTTAAGATAATAATATTTATTCATTTTAAGAATTAATATTCACTTTAAATTCTTGAACCTATAAATATGCCAAAAAGATGATTGGAAGTGTATCAAAAATAATATTAGATTCAAAAGCTATCAATGAAAAATCCAATTTTTATATTTGTACTGTATGCTGTGATTTTATATAATTTTTAAAAGTAATTTAATGTTATTGAAAAATAGTTGTAACCTATGAGACATATGTGGCCTAAAAAACTTAAAGAACACATATATATACTTCATTTAAATATTTTTAATACAATAGTATTTATTTATTTATTTATCTTGAACTTAAGAAATATATGTAGAGGGTAGAGATTGTTTTAAAGTATTAATATTATAATCTAGGTTTAATGAGACAATATTCTTTGCTAGTGCTCATATCATAACATGGTGTGGAGCCTAATTGATTGAAAATCCACTAAATAAAGAAGAAAAACTTATAAAACTTATCATACTAACATCCTAAAAAAGCATCTAAAAATAGTTTGTGAAAGTATATGTGAAACACTTATTATTCTTATCCTTTGATGCTGTTAGCTAAAAACCCAAAACAATATTAATATCAATTGAAATATCATTAACTTTATATTTTTTTATATTCGTAATAAATTATTGTTATTATTATTATGTATATATTTTTTTCAATTTTAAATTAAAAAATTAATTATAATTTGGATATTGTGACACCTAACTTGCCTCTCGGTTTTGATGTATTAAATGGTAGGCAAGAACATTTCTTTTTTCTGTGTTCTACGATGAAATTGGTATCTCCAACATTGATGGATGATATGCCTAAATTTGGAGTCAAAGCTCTAAATATAAAAGCTTAATATCATTTAAAGAAATAAGATATAACAACATGAACGAGTGAGACATCACATACCTTTGTTTTCTCTCTCTCTCTCTCTCTCTTTGTCATGACCATATAAATGGATATCTAAATTTGATTGGCTCACGTTTGCCGAAGTCCATGGAGCATGAGAGCCTCTTCTTCTAGACTCTAATTGTAATGGATAAGATATTGTATGTTGTTCTTGAATTGATATGTATCGTGTAATTTATGACTGGATTAAATTACTCGTGAATGAAGGAAACGTCACTGTAGCAAATGATGTGTTGACCATTTTTTTCCGCAACAAAAGATAATGTAACAAGGATATTTAATAAATATATTTTTTTTAATTTCTAGGATGCTAATGTATTTTTTTTTTATTTCGAAGTATCATATGATATTATCTAAAATCATAAAATTATCAACATGACTCAGTGAAAAATCAATATGATTTATATAAGGTGAAATTATTTACTTGTATGATTTTTTTTTTCATTTATTATAGATCTAGACCATACAAATTTTTTAGGGTACATTTATTTATTTATTTATTTTGAATAAATAATTAAAATATTTAAAGGATAATTGTATCAAATTTAATAAATTGTTAAAATATATTTTTATTAAATAATATTTGTTTTAATGTGTATTTAAAATATATTTTCATTTATTTCTTGCCAAACACTTAAATCATTTCATAATTATATATTTATTCAAAACCTTTTTTCCAAATATATATTGAAGGTGGGATTCGAGCAATACGATACGATGTGATAAACTATAAGGCTTTTACTAATTTTGTTAGCTAATTAGTTTAAAAAAATATATTGAATGAGATTTCAAACCCAACTTAATAAGTATGTTCGATTAGTGCAATATTGCATAAGTGATAAGTCTCAATTTTAGGTTTACGTCATTTTAATTTAATAAATAATTTATATTTTAAAAACATAAAATTTATTGGACTTGATTTGAAATATATTAATTTTAGAATATATTATAAATTTAATTATGTTATCCGTAATTGATAGTAATTAATAAAGATTCATTTTGATGAATATTAATAACAATAACATATATTAAAGGGATATATAAGCTACATAAAAAAAAAATGTCCGTGAACAACGATGTGGCTTACTTTAATTATAAGAAAAAGTATAAGCGTGATAATAATAATAATAATAATATGTAATTTGGATGCCAAGTTAGATGTGGGAAATTAAAACTAATCTATCATGCCAATGGATCACAAATTACTTGTGCGTGTGTGTGTATGTTTACCATAACTCTCAAAGAAGTATGATCAAGAAAAAATAAAGCCTTTCAGAGAACAACACATAACATGTGATAACATAAAATATCATCCTGAAATATTTTATGATTGACTCAGTCAAACCAAAAAGAAACATCTTCCTAAATTAACTCCATCACTAACAAAAGTTTGTCCTAAGAGTCCAATAGAACCATAAGACTAGTTGTCCACGCAACATGATTCTACAGCCATGGATGGATGCACAAGACATCAATGACTTTGATTCCTTAAGAGGCAGACCAGACATGGAAAGAAAGATACTGTGACAATAAACAGACTTAGCACCGCAACATGTTGCTACAAGTTCTATGACAAAAGTGAACTAAACATTGGACGATCAATCATTAGAGAAGGATAAGAATGCTCCTCATATTCCACCACGGAGCAAAAATGTCATCTTTGCATAACTTGCTTGCCCGAGTCCCTTGGAATCAGTGAGGCCAACACGGAGGGTACACGGCCTGGCCAACTTTTGCCCGATCATTTTTGGTCGGCGCTCCTCCATTGATTGTGGCCAACAACTAGGGTTGGGTCCACCCATCGCCTTAATAACTTGTGATAGCTGGCATCGATTCTCGCTGCTGCAACCTTTTTGGGACATTTTTATTTTCCCCTAATTATCATATATCACGGGAGCGATTCTATTAATTTGCTTAGGCGAAATGGAAAGATATAATAATAATAATAATAATAATTCAGAAAATAAATTAATAATGCACATCATGCGGCATGCGCAGATGTCATACTAATTCGATGACATCTCGATGCGGCAAACCTAATCCAACGGTGGTCACGTTTTATCCGTTATTTATGGACGTACTGAAACAGGGCACGCACGCAAAATAATAAGCGGGTCAAATGAGAAGACCAGATCAAGCCGCGTTCGAAGGGCGGAGGTCCCACCTGGCCCAACCGACGGCTCCGACGAGTCCACGGCGGACGGGACCCAGGCGGCGACAGGCACGACTCGATGAGGATGCCACGGGAGACACGACGGCGGCGACGTCCACTGCCGATTCCACCGCTCTCACCGCCTGTGGAGTTGCGTTGATTTGGATTATTGTTATTTAATTAAAATAAAATAATTAAAAATTACAGATAATAAGTACGATAAATAATTAATAATTGTATTTTTGTAGTGTTATAAAGGACGGCATGTCGGTATAAAAAAAATTGCTTCCTAAATAATAATAATAATAATAATAATAATAAAAGTAATAAATAATAGTAGCAGCTACGATTCGCACCGGAACGGAAGAATAAACCCCGAGGCGAGATCCGATCTCCATTCCCTTCCATCCTGCGCTGCCCCTTTTCGAACCCTCCTCTGATTCCGGCTCTAGGTTTCGGGCAGGGATCTGCCGTCGCCTTCGGGATCCGCGTCCTTGATGCGAGACGCGGTCCAGCTTTGCCTTCAAAGGATTAGGTACTGCTGCTTGTCTCTCGCTTTTTTGTCGATTTCTCTTAGATCCGGAGCTTGTAGTTCGGGTGCTTCTTCGTTGCTTGCCGGATTGAAGTCTTCGATGTCGTAAATAGGATTGTTCTCTCTGTTCTTGTGGTTTTTTTGTGTCTCTGTAGATGGTCTAGTTGCTGATCTGTTCAAGAGCGATAGAGGAAGATATATATATATTTGAGATGGGATCTCGGGTCTCCAAGTTGTGGCCGTGTTGTTGGCGTTCGCAGTTCAAAGGGACGGTTCTTGAAGCTCCGGATGCAGGTGAGTTTGTGGTTCGCTGTGGAAGTAGGATTGGTTGGTTCGGTATGCTTGTGAGCTGCGGGAGTGATGGTGGTGCCCTTGGTTTGTCGCAGAGAGTGAGGAGAAGGGCGAGGCTTATGATCTGCCCTCCTTCCAGGAATTTTCCTTTGAGCAGCTCCGGCTGGCCACGTCCGGCTTCGCCGTGGAGAACATCGTCTCGGAACATGGGGAGAAGGCGCCGAATGTGGTTTACAAGGGGAAGCTGGATGCTCAGAGAAGAATTGCTGTGAAGAGATTTAACAGATCCGCGTGGCCCGATCCCCGCCAATTTTTGGTACTTGTTTGTGGCTTTTAAGCACTTAGCATTGTAGTAATTAGTCTTGGATTTCCCTGGAAGCTTCGCTTTACCTACATCTGGACATGCTTTATTTTGTGAGTTTTATGCATACGTTGTGTGGTCTAACATGTATTTCCACTTTGTCCTCACAGACTAGGATGTTTGCACGATCTTAAAGATGCTAACTTTTAAGGACGGGTGCACGGGTATAGATTCACAACAACTGTCTCTCTGCGTCTCCATTTTATGGATTTTAATGCATCAGAGACCTTACTAGTGTATTTCCCTGGTTGCTTCTTTCACCTTGGCCATATCAGACTGACGATAGAAGCGCTATGGCTATGAATGGGTGAAACATGTTGAAATGCCTCAAATTTGTTTATGATCCAGATGAGAACCCCAATGAGGACTAGCTCTGCATTTGCTGCCTGATGTCAAAATTCTTGGTGCATTATCTGCATTATGTCTAAACCTCCTCTTAAGATATATGTTTAACAGAGCTAAAGTATCATACAGCTTAGTGGTTGTACATTAGGGGAGCCGTAGCTTGTCGTAGTTTTGACTCCCTAGACATGAATTTCGTAGCACAAGAGGCCCTTTCACCAAAAGTCTACCTTAAACTAGTCATATTTCAATTTTCTTTATTTCAGTATGAACGGCCCTTTCACCCAAAGTTCAGCTTAAACTAGTTCATATCTCAATTTTCGGTATCTGCTAGGTAATCTTTTGAAGTAAGCTAGGACCATTGATGTTGGTTGCATATTATCTGTACTTATTATCCACAATCAGATTTAGTGAGAACATTATCTGTTGCTTTAGGAAGAAGCAAGGGCTGTTGGTCAGCTTCGAAACCATAGATTGGCAAATTTGCTTGGCTGCTGTTACGAAGGTGAAGAGAGGCTGCTTGTAGCTGAATATATGCCCAATGAGACACTTGCAAAACACCTTTTCCACTGTAAGTTCCTGATGAGTGTTACCAACTACACCACCAAAAAGGTGTACAATCATTATTGTCTTTGTTACTTGCGATAAAAAGAAGACATTGACATCAAGGGTTTTCTTTCCTTCAATTATAATTTGAATATGGCACATATTTTTTCAGCACATTGTTGATAAATATAAACTCAAAAGCTTTGTTACGATTTTTTCTCAATACGCAAAGATGCTATGATTTATTCCCAATATAAGAGGTTGCTTTCAAGTTTACCATTGTTAGTTTTAGGATATATTCTTTTTACACAAAAATCCTCCATGAAGCTCCCTCTGGTGTGCGACATGCTCAGCCATAGTCTCTCTCTCTCTCTCTCTCTCTCCCTCCTCTCTCTCTCCCTATATATATATAGAGTGTGTGCGTGTGTGTCTTGTTTATATAATATTAAAACCAAGCAAAGAGCCATCTGAAGTCTTCACCAGATGCCATCTAGCCGTATGATCACGGTCTTATAACTTCATAAGTAAGCCCAACATCCATTTAATGAAACTCCAGATGCCATCTAGCTGCACACTCTAAATCAAATTTAATGAAACTGCTAGCAAAATCCTTCTATCTTCTCAGATCATGATACATGTCTTGCGTAGAGCCTCTCTTTGTATAACCCATATGCAAGTCCTGTTGGTCTTGCTGGTTCTTTGCTGTAGTCCTAGCGGAAGAACCATCACCCTTTTTTCTTGCGTTTGAGGTACTCCAGTAGTCCAGTACTCTCCACATATAATGTGAATCATCTGGTCATCGAAGTCAACTCCAGAAATCTCCAATTTGATGTTACCACTGCATCAGTTATCTGCTTTAATATATCTTTTGCCTGTGTGAATTAGGATGTCATTTTATTGGACAAGTCCTTTTAATCTATTTAACTTTACAGGGGAATCACAGCCAATGAAATGGCCTATGCGACTAAGAGTAGTTCTCTATCTAGCTGAGGCCTTGGAATATTGCACCAGTAAGGGTCGTGCTCTCTATCATGATCTGAATGCCTATAGAGTTTTATTTGATGAAGTGAGTAGTAACATCATATATTGATTCAACAGAAACATCCATTTTTGTCCTTTTATTTCATATTTTTCATTGTGGATCATCTTCTTGCAGGACTGTAATCCCAGACTTTCATGTTTTGGTCTCATGAAGAACAGTCGAGATGGAAAAAGTTATAGCACTAATTTGGCATTTACACCTCCTGAATATTTAAGAACTGGTATGTACTCTCAAGAAATGTAACCACGCTTTGAGATAGTATCTAGGCAATGTTCAATTCTCTATTTTGGATTTAGTGCTTGTCTTGTTTCCTATCTGAAATACCTAACTGAATGCCATGCTTAGTGACAATGTTCATAAAATGAAAAGAATAAGGAGATTAACCATGATTGGAAGTTAAATCCTATAGAAGTGACACAGGAATCTACGATATCAAATCGGAGATAATTACACTTTTAAGTTAACTAATACAAGCCTCTTTCCAGTGAAGATGATTGATAACTAAGTTATTGATTCATTAACAATCCCCTCCCTTGTCCATTTAATATGGTAAACACATGTTTTCCATTTATGGAAGGAAATATTTTTTGAATATTCTACCTCTTAGGTAAAATTAACTTAGTTATTTCATGTTCTACCTCATCTACCCATCTCCATAATACCATCACTTTTGACCATTATCTTTGGGCAATGGCAAATTGGAGGAGAAAATATAGAAAATATTGTAGTGTCAGGGCTGTTGGAAGATAAAATACCAGAGGACATGGAGCAAAGTTTGGTGCCTGAAGCACAAACAGAGGTGGTAATCATAGAAAATACATCTTGTCTGCTTTGATAAATATGTGAGATATCAAACTATGAATAGATATTCCAAGAATTCTTTAATTTGATGTTGGCAGTAAAGATGGTTCTTGCATTTAAGATGGATCTGTTATATTAGAGAAAATTTTGCTTGAGCAACTATGCAGCTCATCTTAACTTTTATCATCGGGAACAGAGTTCTAGTTTGAGTCAGGAATCTTTTGATACATTGCATATCCTCTATCTATGCATGTAGTTCTTAATGTTAAAGTGGAACTCTGCAGTGCCAACAATGTGCAAGATCTTGAAGTTTTCTGAGACCAAAATTTTCTCCTCTTGTCTTTTATGTACTTGGCAATCCGGTTTTTTAGGCTAAAAGGTTGCTGATAAACCACTATATGGAAAGGGCACTATTGATTTTTTTTTTTGTTTATAATTGCAAACTTTTTCTTAGTTTGGGATCAGAGTCACGTTTTCTTAATTGCAAACTTTCTCTAGATGAGTCAGTATACATCCGAGGGTATGATCTTTATTTTCTGACCCATTAGTAGCTCTTGCTATATAAGAAATGAGGGAAGCAGGCAAGTGCTTCATGCAAATTCATTCCACCCTTTCATTTAATGCTTATACTCATGTTCGTTGTATTAAGATTTCTTTATTTGTGATCAGAGTCACATTGCAATGGTGTTTGATAGAGATTGATAATGTCATGCACTTCACTTTTCCTTGAAATTTTTTCATTTAACAGCTGAAGCAATACAGTTTTTTTGTTTTCAGGTGTCCCTTGTGCATAATACATTAATCACAGTAATCTCTTCGATTATGTTGTCTCATTTTTTCGATGTGATATGCAGGAAGAGTTACACCAGAAAGTGTCATATATAGCTTTGGAACATTGCTTCTTGATGTTCTAAGCGGAAAGCACATTCCTCCTAGCCATGTGAGTTGTATTCTCTTTACGAGTTTCCTATTTTTGACACATGAAAATTTGATTGACTGGCTGAATTAGCTTACTAGCTGAATTGCCTTGCTATCCCCTTGCCTTTATCTTAGTTCCTATGATCATTTATCTATTGAAGGGTGATAGAATGGATGCCAATGTGATTTTTGGGCATGAAAAGAGCGATGATGAGGCCTTAATGTGTAATATATAAAAAATAGAAAAGTATGGTTAAAGTTATACACAAGGGGTTAGAGGTATAAAGTTTGGAAAGATATTAAGAACATGAGTTTAGGACCTTTCAAAAATAGGTTAGGATGTTATCATTTAACATATTTCTAGCTACCCCTAAATGTTAATAGAACACAACTACAAAGAATTCTCAGTGTATTAAGGAAAGATAGATAACAGTTCTTGTATCCAAGTGGTACTAACAAAAGTTTGTCAGAGTTCAAATGCAATTCTTGTTGCCTTTTGTGCTACAACCAAAGTGTGAAGTTAAGACTTTAGTGTCTTTGCTTCATCTGACTAGATTTAGTCATTAGGTTAATCTGAGAATTTCTTGTTAAAGTGCAAGCAAGACGCTTATCAGCCCTGTAACAACCTGGTCCCCATTGGCCCAAAATTAAAACCTAAGTCTATGGTAGTAAAGCAATTTCGTCTCGACATAATCTTTCTGTGCTTTTTAAGTAAATATAGAGTTAGAAAACATGATAAAAGTACATAACAAGACAAATGTGATGTTTTATTTGGAAAGGAAAGAAAAGGAAATTTGATCTTGCAGTCTTTGGAGCAGGCATAAGCTGTTGATTGGTCTACACAAAGATGTTTCTCCTTTTAAAAAATTTACTGCTTCAATTCAAGTATTATGTACTAAACGTTAACAGGAGGATTCAAACTCCTGATCTTACAGTGCCCCCTTAACTACAAGGATGTCTACATAAAGATGTTTCTGTAATCCTTTTTGTCTGTCAGGTCATAAACGTGTGTTGACATTGTCGACATCATTATCTCCATGTTTTATTGATCATATTTCAAGGAATTATGATGCTTGTTCAGTATATCTGCTGTATCTTGATCTGTTCAGAGATTTCCTTGCAGGCCCTTGACTTGATACGAGATCGTAATTTCAATATGCTGACAGACTCATGTTTGGAAGGTCAATTTTCGAATGAAGATGGGACTGAACTAGTACGCTTAGCTTCAAGGTGTTTACAATACGAGCAACGTGAACGTCCTAATGTGAAGTCAATAGTACTTGCATTGACTCCACTACAGAGGGAGACTGAAGTGAGCATCAACCGCTGTCTTTCTGTGTCTAATATATTTTTATAAATGTGGCTGTCATGCTCTAAAACTGGACCACTTGCAATATGATCACCACTTATGATGGTAATCATGGTGGGATTTTTATATTTAAATACATGATTATCTGTTAGGTGGCTTTCATGCTCTGTAAGGAACTAATAAATACACAACATTTTGAGTTAGGCCTTCCCGTGCATTTCTCCTACTTATAGTCTTCTGATATGGGGAGTTCCTTGAACTAGCAACTGATGTGCACAAGTGTCCTTTTTGTTTATTCATTTGAGTATCAAGAATTAGTTTATACTCTTGCTTTTAAAGTCATTATGTATATTTACAGGATGTGTCGTGTAGGTCCCTTCTTACGTATTAATGGATATCCCTCGTGGTGGTGCATCCTCGATAGAGTCGCTTTCTCTTTCTCCACTGGGTGAAGCTTGCTCCAGAATGGATTTGACTGCAATACATGAAATATTGGAAACAGTCGGATACAAAGATGACGAGGGAACAACGAATGAGGTTTGTACATGAGAATTTTTTATATCAAGTTGAAGCAGCAGACTAGCTTATTTGTGTAATAAATAAATATGGGCATTGCACATATGTTTTCTCTGCATTTTTCGTCTATTTGCCCATACATGTAATAGCAGCTGTGAGGGTTTTCAATGCAGACAGAGAACTACAGAATCAGATCGTTAAATATGGCAGAAGAGATGTGTTTTTATCTACTTTGCTTGAGAAAATAAATAACTGTTTTCAAGTATTGACTCAGTTTCCTATAGTTTTCATTTGTTTTTCTCTAGTAGTTCTTATCCCCGACAAACCTAAAAGTGAAAGCTAGGCGATAGCTCTTTGATTACTGTCCTTCAATATGTCCGCCGACTTGTTTATTGTTTCCCTTCACTTTTGTGCTCTATTCTCTTGTCAATGTTTTCTGTAAAAATTTAATTGCACTTGATTCTGATATGCACAAGAGTGGATGTTACTTATTTTTCACATTCCTCTCCGTACCAAACACTGCTTTGTTATTCTTCTGGTGCATTATGAAGTTGCTTCATGCATAAGTAGATTGATAATAATGTTATCTGTTGGCCTAGTATTCGGACTCATAAAGACTTGGCTGTGTTTTGACAAGATATCATCTTGTGCTTGGTGGTTCTTGATGATTATCTTGGATAGCATATTGAGACGATCTTTTGTTACTGTTGACTGTCTAAGATTTTATAACCAATTTGATGCTTCACCTTTCTATGTTTCTAAATATATAAAGCACACCTCATTGATATGCATGCCTCCTCATTTTTATCCTTTCTTCTTTTAGCTATCATTTCAAATGTGGACCAACCAGATGCAAGAGACACTGAACTCAAAGAAGAAGGGTGACACTGCTTTCCGGCATAAAGATTTTAATACTGCAATAGAGTGCTACACCCAGGTGATTTTATCTTACTGATTGGTTTCGTTGTGATAATAATTCTCATTTTTTTAGGATATCTTTCTGATAAATGATCAATTGTTCTTGCTGTGATCTTTTTGATGCCAGTTGCTCATCGGTAGTTCCATTACAATCTTTGAACTAGACTTGTAGCTAATGCGCCCATCATTTTTGCCATTTGAAAACCTTTACTGCTGATCAAATCATTATTAAGGAGAATCCATGGTCTAATTTCTTCCATTATATATCTAGAAGAATGCAAGTGTAGAATCTGCCATTCAGAACCATACATGTGAGTTTTCGAATGAACTTCCGTTCCACAAAGTCCATTTTTCTTATATCGTAATTAGAAAGAACAAGAACAAGTTGGGCATGGATTCAATGTACATGACATTCATTGGTTTAGGACACGCGTAGAGTTATAAAACATTGTCAAAAGCTTCTTGCAGTAACCAATATGTAGAAGTAAAATCTATTTTCTTCTGTGTCTCTTTGTCATGTTACATCTCCTTTTTATCATACATGTAGCACTTCCACAGAGCTTCCAAATGTCAGGAACAAAAATTGCCTCGTCATTTGAAAAATTACTACTGCACTGGTCTTTTGGTTGTTGTTTTGGAATCAATTAGGGTCCTCTCATACGCTATGGAGATGATTTTTCCGTTAACACTGATGTGTGCTGCATTTAGGTGCCGATTAAATTCATTCAAAATCCATATATTTGGTACTGAGAGCTTGATAGAGGATGTGCAAGCCTGACATCTCGATGATTTTCTGTGACATGCAGTTCATAGATGTTGGGACCATGGTTTCGCCTACGATTTTTGCACGCCGTTGCCTGTCATACCTGATGAATGACTTGCCACAGCAAGCTCTTAATGATGCAGTGCAGGCGCTAGTCATATCTCCTACATGGCCAACAGCACTTTATCTTCAGGCTGCTGGCCTTTTGGCTCTTGGGATGGAAAATGAAGCTCGAGAAGCACTTAAGGATGGTTCTTTGCTAGAGGCGAAAAAGAACGAGGGGCATTAGATGGGGACTAAGTTAGAATGACCGAAGACTTTAAATGTTCAAAATTTCAGATTTATTTGCCCCATAAAAAAGGGAAAAAAGAGAGTTTATGATCATTTTTAAGGACAGCTTAAGATTTTGGATGTCAAAGACTGCTTCTGATAGAAATAGGCTTGATTCTTTGATGGGCTTGCCGTTCTGGAGTTACTGAGTGCATCGTTTTCCAGTTGGCAGGGGGCTGGATTATTACCTTCTGCTGTAGCTGTACTTCACATCCTGCAATGTGTAGTGTGCATGTATATATGGGGAATCAACCATAGCAACCCATGAAAAGTTTCTGGCAAGATAAAATGGTAAAAGTTGTGACCCTTCTTGCAAAGCATGCCATGTAAATTGCACGAACCGCTGGTGAACATGTTGTGTTGTAAAGCAGTTGAATGATTTGTTTCGTGTGTGGCTTTATTTGTGTTTTATTGTCTTTTATCAATTGCCAATGGATTTCATTGAGATTGTTGGATTCTTTCACGAGGCATGTCTGTAGATGTAATCTGGGGGATGAAGAGTTCTGTAGTGGTTGCATGTCCAAAGATTTTAAATCCATTTGAGTGCTTTCCTTCTATTGTTTGGGTATGTATGGTAGTCATGCATGGGCTCTCTCAGAAAACAAATTGGCTTTTATCTTCTTATGCTGTGGTCGGTTTTGGGGGGTGGGGGGGGGGGGGGGGGGGAGCACAATCACCAGCTTTTATGTCATTTTGTTTTGTGAAACCAGACATGTTTGGTGATCTTTGAACTTCAAAATCATTGGTGTTGTTGTTGTTGTTGTTTAGGTTTTCTAAAAATAGACGTAGTAATTGCATATACTTTTCTAGTTGCGATACCATGGATATTAAATCCATCACAATTTTCAATTTTTATGGAGAATAATCAATTTTTTGGTGACAAATACAGGTTCATGTAATTGATATCAGGGGAAGAGATAGCATCATTTTGCTGGTAATATGCGTCCCCTGGTAAAACGTTCATATAGGAATTTTACCCTCCAAAAAACCCCATCTTTCTCTTGTTTGAATTTATTATCTTGTGGCTTAAAATTAATTAATTTTAGGTACCGTCATCTGTAGTTGTAAAATTCTCTACCCATCCTGCGATCTGCAATTCGTCCTCGTGAAACCTTGTCAATGTAATCGGCATTAATGGTGAATATCTTTTAAAGTCATACCAACAAAAAATTATATAGTTATAAAACTGAAACATCTAGATTCACTTATTCAAACAATATCATTTTTACTAACAGAAATATGAAAATAAAAGATAAAAAAATAATTTTAACATTTGATAACGGACGTTGTCGATGGTGACGGACGACGACGTCGCTAGCGTTGATGCCGATGCAATTGCCTTGTTATCTCTGACGACGATAAGGTCCACTCTCACCGCAATGCCACCTGCCTTCACAAGGAGCGTGTTGTCGACCTCATCGTCGTTCGCCCCACATCGCTTTGCATCTGCGATGATGCTAACGTAGTTGTCGCTTGGAAATTACATCGACGTTGATGTAGATGGTGGTGGCTACTCCCCATCTCCTCGCTCCTTTGCCATCTCATTCTCTTGGGAGCATCGCCTCAGAATCGCCAAATCCCTCTCGCACCCCACGTAGCTGAGGACACCTCTGCCCACCCCCTCCTTTGATTCAGTCCCACTCGGAACTCTTCATCACGCGCAAGAAATGCTTCGTCACCTCCCTTGACACGTTTGTGGCCACACTCGACCTTTGTTCGAATGGTCTCTTGCATGACAGTGACAACATGGACGAGCTCTGGTTAGTGCCCGATGTTGTGCTGTAGATGGAGACATCCATCATCGACCAGGTTCGGCTCTTCGACTTGTACGACTCTTGGAAGGCAACACTCCGTCATGGACACCACAGTTTGCTTCCCTTAGACCGAGTTGTTGGGTTTCCTTGGCCATTGACGTGGCCCAGACAACATCTAACGCATCTACGTCGACACTGATTCAGTGACGTTGCTCTGCATCTACGTTAATGCTAATGTAAATACCGAGCAGCCCTTTCATCACTCAATAATTGCGTTAACATCAACATAGATATAGAGTAGAGAAAAAGCTGCTCGACGATATGTGGTGCCAGAACCGATACGATAATAGGGGGAGCGATAGAAGCTTTGGTGACACCAGCTTCCGATCGAGGCTAGGATCCACCCAATGATTCAACGATGAGGCAACCACCATCTTCGCTAAAGATATCGATACAAATACAAAGTGATGCAGAATGTTAAAATTTAAATGTATCATCGTCGAAGGCAACTAAGCAACTGTATCGACATCAACACCATAGTTCGTCACCAAATGTTAAAATTATCTTTTTATCTTTTATTTTTATGTTTCTATCAATAAAAGAATTTAAATGTTTCATTTTCGTGACTAAGGATGCTAATGCAACTTTCTAAAATATAGGGACATGAACGCCAAAAAATAACTAATCAGTAATTAGCCTTGCTCGTATCTATGCATGTTTTCAATGAGAACAAAAATGTCGAGCATATCGTTCATAGTAAATTAAAATTAAAAAAACATATAACCATCTTCATAAACTTATAAAAAGATAACAATGCACCTAGTGATGTTATCAAACTAACATACATATACATGACAAATTTTCTAATTAAATCCAATGATGGCAAACAATTTTGGAAAATTAATTACATAAAGCTAAAATCAATCTTAAAATTTGTTTTTATGGTTTATATAAAAAAATATATATATAAGTCAACATGTGGCGTGGACCTTCCTCAAGGCCGAACCTGCGCCGCGACGGAGACCACAAAAGCAACAGCCTGCATAATATAATTTGCTTAAGATTAGCCCTCATAAATAGCAATGTCTGACGAGTTCGTTTCGAACAACCCAGCAGCAAATTTTACGTAATTCCCATTCAGCAGTACCCGGTGGCTTTGATGTAATATCCTGACAGACCCGATTTACACCACGCACGCTGTTGCAGATCTTGCGAACCACATCAATAAGGAACTTGTGGTCAAAATAGTACCAGAAGAGATTTATGTGAAGGGAAAATATCAGAAAACACAGTAGAGAATTCATGACAAGTGATTGGATATACAATGAGACTTGAATACAACTTTGATATATTTGCTGAAACATGCTAGCAAGAAAATAAAAGAGGGTAAGGTTAAGATATCCTTCCCGGACTTTCTCAGCATCTTCAAAACGTATATTTTTAGGAATCTTGTCATTTTGACCACGAAAGTACATCAATCTCTTACGAGATGAATCAGAAATAGTGCTACAAACACTCCCAACAATGCTTCGGCACTATGCATGTAAAATCACAACACATCTTGTGTGTGTGTGTGTAAATATACAACTAAACTACTGCCACATAATTTTCTGCAGGTTTTATGATTGAGGAAGATCAAGGCCTTTTAATTGGAAACACAGTTAGCAACAGCACACGCTTTGGACTAGGTCATTGTCAGGCCAAGAACCCTTCAGTGTTCATAGTGATCTTCCAATCTTGATACATCAATATTTGTTGATGCTACTAAAGTCTCAAGCATGTCAGTGTAATCAATGCATTTTATAATGTTTTCAGGTTTGCAGATGAATGTTTACTTAATTTCCTATTATGATACACATGTTTTCAAGAGGGCGACTCTGATTATTCCTTTGCAATGTAGATGCTCAGGTTTCAAGCATGCCGGTGTAATCAATGTGTTTTATATGTTTTCAGGAGGGCGAGCCTCCTTGATCATTCCATTGCAATGTAGATGATCAGATCTCAAGCCACGAAAACCTCTCTAGTTGCAAGGCTGCCTATCTGTACGATCCTTGGATCCTAATGTTAGCAGCATCTAGTGCACTATATGGTCCTTCAAAAAAAAAAGAATTCCTGACTTCATAACTATGTACAGTGCACGTTAACCACTAGAATGCCTCCTTAGAGACATCACGCATTGAAGTCATCCTTTTTTATGTCATAGGTTAGTTACAAAGACCATATCCAAGGAGAAATTCAATGAGTGATATTGCATGGTTAAATAACCAGCCATCTCTTCCGGATGGCGTTAAGTGCATGATAAGGAGAACTGGAAAACCTATCACAAACAAGTATTGGGTTGCTAATGTAAATATCAACAGAAGAAATTGTTAAAATAGCTACCGTTCACTGATTGAAAGCAACATGTACAATTGCATAAGCTGCTCTACGAAAAGCAATGCATCAAATTGATTGAAGATATAGCTGAGTTAATGCCATAAAGAAAATTAATACTGAATGAAAATTGAAAAAATATTGCTAGGTTCAGATAGGATGGTGAACCATGCATTTTTGCATATAAAAGTTGAAGCCAGCAAAGAACTAATCATGTTCAGTTCCTAAAATTAAACACCAACTCAGGAATATCAAGATCTATCTCCATTGGTGCACTTGCAGATGGTTTCTGTACTGTGTTGGTCATATCCTCTACCTCAACATACACCTATGCCCTAGTGACATTCATAAGGAATAACTTGTGGCTTGTGAATAGCATCTCAATTAACTAAATGTATTCAAAATTTCAATCCCAAAGCTTCCTTTTCACAATCTATTCTTCACCATATCCTCTATTTTAGCATATAATTCATGTCAACGTTAATTGACATGAATTATGAATCATCATAAACAATAAACTATTCTAGAAACACCATGACTTCATCTAGTAATACATCATCACCATCAATTAGCTTAATAGCTGTGAAATCATGCATATAGTTGCTAGAATCACTAAATCTCTTTTAGAACTCCTCTAGAACTATGATCCAGGTTGCACATCCTCACTCACGATATCATATTAGATTGAGGCAAGGTTTGCAGTTCGTTTACCGATATTGTATGGGTCAGGGCTTGGACCAGTACTGAACTGGTCTACCGAGTACGAAAAAAAAAAAAAAAAAACTAAAAAAATAAAACATGAACCACCTGATATAGAGCATGTACTGCCCTATACCAGGTGGTACCAGCGTGTATGTGGGATCATTCAATACAAGCCCAGTTTAAGCGTACCACCCGATTTACCTTAGTGTGTGTACCGATAACCCAGTGGACAAATAAATACGACCAACATACCGGGTTTGAGGTACATCATCGGGTTGTTAAAATTGTGCATCAGATTTCACCTTCAGTTATTCAGTTTTATATACATTATCAACTAAAGTAAATTGCATATCTTGTATCTACATCCAGATCATGAATTAGAATAATTCTAACCTGCCTTTCAGATATCTATAATGTGAAAATTGACCATGTACCTCCTGAATACAACACATGCAAAAAATCTCATGTTCATCACCAACCTATCCACATATTCATTTTCACGTGATTGCTAAATTTTTAACCCTTTAGGTTAAAGTTTTAAATGAAGTTCAAAAACTGTTGCATCAACAGTACTCAACAAAATTCACCCCAAGTCTCAGCCATATTACTTTCTATTACTCTTGAATACATCTGCAAGTGCTACCAGTCTCACTTTCTGTTTAATAAATCCAAAAACAAGGTTGTAAGAGGAAACTGACACTAACCGGTCTGCAGTCGTTCCATCTTCACTAGTAATTGCTCTAAGAACAACCACATGAGAATGTGTTCTTTGGTCTCCCTGAACACCACTGATTGTACTGGTAGAAAAACAGCAAAAGCTTGCCAAATGGAATCATAGAGGCCAGCATCTTTGATTGACTGAATAAAAATCTCATCCACCTACAGAAAAGGTTTGAAGTGAAAACCATGTTGACAACAAATTGATGTTAGGGAATGAACTAAAAAAAGATAACAAGCAACCTGGTGGAGAATCTCGAAGGCATTTCCTTCTGTGACATCCCCCAGTACACGAATAGCAAGGCCAGGTCCAGGGAATGGGTCTCTTTAGAAATGATTCAGGGACATTCAAAATACTCCCCAGTTTTTGTACCTTTAAATTGAGTGGCAGATTGGAATCAGCATTGGAGCATAATTGAGGCTGGATGACAAAAGGTAAGAACAGTTTTATGTGTTTAATGACAAGTGCATCATGGACTTGGAACCTATACCTCATCTTTAAACAGGAATTTTAGTGGTTCAATAAGCTTTAACTTCATATCCTTTGGAAGCCCCCCAACATTATGATGGCTCTTAATTGTGTGAGTGAGTCATTCCACTTCCAGGTGGTGGGCAGGACTCTATTACATCTGGATAGAGAGTTCCCTGGACCAAGAACACTGGTCTTCTTCCCAATTTTTGCTCTAACTCTTGAGCAAAATCATAAAAAATGCATATAAACTCTCAACCAATTATTTTCTTCTTCATCTCAGGGTCTTTAATGCCTTTGAGCTTACCAAGAAATTGCTCAGAAGCATCAATATAAGTGACTGGTAAATGTAGATTACTCTGAAAAGTTGACATGATTCGCTCTCTTTCCTTATACCTAGAGCAAGGAAAGTTCACTCTTGCTGTTTAGTTGGAGGAGATTAAAAAAATAGTATTTATTTTCTACTGTGCAGCAACACTAAGAAAACATGTAGCCTTAATAGGGCCATTGTCAACAAAAACACAATGAAGCCTGTTTCCAATTACCTTGTGAACAAGAGTGGCAACGTCAGTGGAATCCACTCCTCCAGATAGTGCACAAATCACATGCTCATCAGGTCCTACCACGCCTTTGATGACCTTAATTTCTTCCTCAAGTACACCTTGCATCTTCCAATCTGCAGTGATCCCACAAACATCCAAAAGAAAATGCCACAGTGTCTCCATTCCTTGTGTCGAATGAGTCACCTACAAGCAGATTGAAAGAAACAAAGCAATGTAAGAGTGCTATTAGTATCCAACACCAAAGATCATGGACTGCATTGCTATCAGTCTGCTGGGCTGATGAAGTTCTATGTATAATTCCTCACTAATTGTGGAATGTACACCAAACAACTAGAAAAGTCATGAGGAAGGCCAGACATTATAGGAATGAATTCTCTAAACAAATTAGCATATACCAACAGCAACATAATGCACCTTCAAGATGGATTTTTGTAGATCATCACCATTGGTGATTTTAACTCAGTAAAAACCGATATGCAATCAGGCAGAGTTTTTGAAATTGGATCATCTGATAACTGTTGAGAGAAATGAAATAAAAACAAAAAATTTGCTTTTACCAAGGACATAAATAATAAACACGATAGTCTTGTCAGCTCGATCCAAGTAGATATAGGGAGAAGCTTCTTTTACAAATTCTTCACTCAAAATTATGTTAGAAGATAGTTTTCACTCAAAGTTACATTAGAAGATTAGTAGAAAAGTTACGTTAATCAGTTAAGAGAGGAGCAATTAAAAACTGAATCTACGTCAAAATCTTAGCTCTACAGAACAGGATAAGACGAATGTCTGCTTACAATGCCTTGCCTTTTTTTCTTTTTTGGTTCTGTCCTATCGCTCAATTGAAGTTAAATTGATGAGACAAAATACACCATATTTTGTGTAAAAGGTTAAAATCAAAATGATTCTGAACATGGAAACCTTACCAACAAGAACAAATTACATGACTGAATTAGTGGAGCAAAACACAAGTCACAATCTATCAAAAACTCATGGTAGCAAGACTTATATGTTATGACACAATAAGAAGCAATTAGAAAAATCATACAGAAGTCTATGATTCTTATGATGCCTCTGGTCAGGGAGAGGCCACAAGAACTTACTAAATAGGATGCAAGTAAAATGAAGGGCCAAATTCAATTATATACCGCATCATACTTAAAGCAGATAGAAGCCGCAATGAAAACAAATAATGCCTAATTAAACACAGTGTTACTTATGTACGAACCCAAAGATAATCAATTCATAGTTTTCCTTGTTCTCTGACGTGACCTAAGTTCCAAAACAGGAGTATATGTTAATGTTCATAGCAATATTTCACAGCAGAAGCCACTTTTTTTGGTCATAAGTATTTTCCAGTGCAGACCCATAGCCCGCTAGAATCATAATGCAAGTCCTCCTCATTACCTCTGGATGATACTGAAGACCATAAATCCTTCTAGAGTGATTCTCGATCGCCGCCACTGATCCCTGCAGGCTCCTCGCGACCACTGAGAAACCCTTCGGCAACTTCACTGCCTCATCGCCGTGGCTCATCCACACGGTCTGATGCCCACCGATGGCCTCCGACCCATAAAGTCCCCGCTCACCCTCGGCCACCGCTATCTCCATCTTACCATACTCCTGCCTCTACCCGACGGCGACCTTTCCCCCGAGCTTCTGGACGATCAACTGCATCCCGTAGCAGATGCCGAGCACGAACACGCCGTTCTCCTCAGCGTACTCGATGAATCCGTCGGGGAACGAGGGTGCTCCGGCGACGTGGACGGAGTGGGGGCCGCCGGAGAGGACGACGGCGCGAGGCATCAGCTTGGCGATGGAGCCGGATTCGGCGGGTGATGAGGTGCGTGTACTGGGAGCCGTAGTCGAGGATGAGGACAAGGTTTCCCGCCCCGCCGGGGGTTCCACCGCAGGAGGCCTTCGATTTGACGATGCTTTCCATCTCTCCGGCGGCGAGGATTAGGGGTTGTGGTGAAGGAGGGAGCTGATCGCCACGAAAGGAGCGACAGCAGGTTAGGGATTTTATAATCATTCTCTTGGCGGGAACCACCGTGGATAGGGGCTGTAGATCCTTTTTTATCAAACAGATCACGACCGTTGATATGAAGGATCAAGAGAGGTACGTCCGCAGATCACGAACTTAACGGCCCCCACCGGTCTTTGGACTCGGCCATCATGCAGACTTACCGCACAAGTCTCTCCTTTCCCGCATAGTAATTAACTTATCTTATATTATTATTTTTGGGTAATTTATTGGGAAAAATTTTCACTATTGGGGTCTTTTTCTTTCTAGAGGATGCCTCTCATAATTGTTTTTACTTACCCCTATTTTTCTAAATGCCTTCAGTCTTTCCATTAAATGACATCGAGACTAATGCGGAATTTATATTTTATTTATTTATTTATTTGTTAAAGTGATCTCGTTTGATTTTGATTACCTCTAACGTCAGACCTCCTCCTTTGCCCTTCAACTCCATTCAAATGTTATTTTTTTAATTTTTTTTATAAATAAATATATCTTAATTCATTTTCGAGTGTAATTCTATCAACCTAACATCTCAAACTTTCACTACTCTTCTAAAAAATCATTATAATATTATTAGAAATATTTTTTTTATCATCTTAGACGAATTTTATGATAATTAATTATCAAATTTTAATTTTTTTATGATATATTATACGAACGAGGGTTAGATAATTAATATATTTAAATTTTATAAGATAATCATGAGATCAACAATACTTAATAGATTTGAGTGTTATACAGTTAATAAACAATGTATAAAAAAAATTTATATTATCTAGATCTATAGAGTTATTATAAAAAATAAAATAATAAAATAAATATTTTTATTCGTAAACAACTATATAACGCTTTAAAATAAAATGAACACGTACCTAAGAAAATTTTAAAAACTATAAATAAAAATTTAAATACTCTGAATTTAATTAAATAAATAACTTTTTATGAATATCAATAATGAAAAAAGATTTATATAATCGATCCAAAAAAATTAGACTTATAATTTTATTATTATTGTTATTATATATTATATGAACGAAAAACAAGAGACATGAGAAAGAACCAATGAAAGATAGAGAAGAGGGATTAGGGCTTTAACTTGAACCAATTCGTTGGTGCAAACATATTCAATGGACAAAACTGATATTTGTAAAAAAAAAAAGAAAAAAAAAGAGAAGCTCCCAAATAAAAATAATTATAACTGACATTATAAGGTAAAAAAGATTATGAGAGACTTAATTTGATAAATTATTCATTATTGTTGGTAATGTCGTTTAATGTGTTATGAAGGAAGACTTTTTTTTAACAATAAGAAATTTATTTTTATTTTCACTTAAAACCTTCCCTCACACCATGAAATTTTTCTATATATCCAGTGAAATGTTTTAATTAATGCAAAATTGTCATTGGTGATTTTGTAATAATATTGTTGATAATAAAGAAATTATTGAAGAAAATGGTAAAAATAAAAATGACGTGATGACGAAGAGGACGATGACGACGATGATGATGATAATAATAATAATAATTGAGAAGATTTTCTACACGCAAGATTACCCATTCCACATGTTATATTGAGATTAAACATGAATGATCACCAAAATTAGATCAATCGTATGCAGCAGCGATTTCCTAAGAATTACAAGTAAAACTGTGAATACATTACTTGTGAAACATACTCAGTCGTGCCAAACTTACAGCAAGTAGAACTGGGAATAAAGATGCTTGCGTATCTTGTAGTACTCTTCTGTCAATGGGCCTTCTATGAGAATTTGCTGACCACCAGTCCCACCCTGCAAAACAAAATTCAAGTTGTCAAAAGAACAAAATTGTGGGCTTACACAGCTCGGTTTTGACGTTAAGGCTTTTCTTTAACTAATTTCTTTAATAAGTTTACTCTCTTGCACTGAATTCAAACTTGAAACATGTAAATTGTGCGCTCACCACATGATGTCTAAATAGGTCACTAGATTTCGGAACCAAATCATCAAACGCATAAGATAAGATTTGTTGCTAACCTTCTGGCTGGCATCACTTATCTTGCGCAGAGTTACATGCTCGCCGCAGCGAAGGGCACCCCCAGTGAATTCTACCTGAAGCAAAATGTTTCGAGGTATACCAGTGAAAAATGGCTCAAGAAATGCTTTAAAAACTTCAGTTGGTTATGCGGATTCATGTTGTCAGGCACCCGAGGCTGAGTGGCATTTTCCATAATAGGTTTATCCCCAATTTATGAGGCTTTTACAATCGTAATATGGTGGCAGACTGGAAACTTTTCAAGAGTCATCACGTCAAATTTTCTTCTCAAAGTCACAGAAAAGGGCACGGGTATACCTGGACACCTTGGCTAGCAAGGAACTGCTTGAAATCTGCCAGTTTCAGATCTCCTATGAGAACAGATTTGTGGGTTGGAGGAGCTGAAGAAAGTGGAAGGAGAGTGAGCATGTCATTGGTCTTTCCAACTTCAGCATCAACCCATGCAATCTCATAGTCACCCAGCTGTAAGCGTTAGCAATTTTCAGAGAATTTAATTGCATTAACCATTAAAGATAAGTGGACACTGAATGTTCACAAGTTGTCAAACTCGAGATTGATGAGGCAGCACAACTTTTAGATCTACCATAAAGCAGGCAGCGATATATTTGCATGATAATGAACTTGAACAGATACGCAAAAAAGGAATGCACCCATTTCATACAACCACAAAGCATATTTTACATTCATGTCCAGTGTCCTATCCTTATATAAACAACAGCTTATCATCCCCAAAATAACGTAACAGAACCCACAAAGTCACTAACACTTGATCGTCCAGCTCTAGGATATCAAAGAGCAGGATAGTTGCCCCAGACTCATCAAGTTCTGTTTTCACTCAAAACTCGGCCCAAAGGAAATAAATATTTAACTAGAAAAACTCTTAATAAGTCACCCTCCATCTTCCTAAAAAGGAGATGAATAAACTTTTTAGATTCACTGTTGAGGAAGTTCAATGTTATCAGACAACTGCCAACAAATATTTTATTTTTCTCCCCAAGATGATGAACAGAAAGCACACAACTCTGCGACCTAGTTTTTAACCTGAACCATACCCTCTTTTAGTCAATGCAGTGAGCTCAAGCAACAACTGCTACTGTTCTAACAGGATCAGTTTAACTGCTATTAACTTTGCCCCCAAAAAATAAATAAGATTAATACAATTTCAATCAAATTTAAGTATTCAGTGCCTGTAGTTTCCTGAAAGCATCATTTACCACAAAGATTGAAACCATTGAGCATCAGGAAGACAAAAAAATATGCTTAACTAGTATTAAGGAAAGGTAAGGACAATGGCTCAGAATAGCATATGACATCCTCACCTTCTTAAGAAGAACATTACTCATTAGCCTCTCTGAAAGCTGCACCTGTTTTCATATGAAAAGCAAATAAAGCATTAGATTTGAGATTCTATATAAACTATAATTAGCTACAATTTGCACTACACCCCTCCCCCCCTCCCCCACCCCCAAAAAAAATAAAATTAAAAAACAGAACAAAGAAATAAAATAAAAAATCCACACTACCCTGGAAAAGAAAAAAAAACTTATGCAGGATGTTTACCTTATAAGCACACAAATCAGAGGTAACATCAATTGTTTCTTCAATATGTGGAGCATAAACATGGGGGCAAACATGTTTTATGCAGTGTTGTTTCAAATGCTCAGTGGCTTCTGCTGATCCATGTACTAAAACCTAAAATAACAATTCATAAATCTTTTAGTCACTGAATTTTTCCAATGTACATAATGAGAGCACAAAATAAAATGCAGCAGAAAATGATGACATCATGAAATGAAGATCTTAGATAATGATAGAAATAAAACTTGTTTCTCAAAGCTTTTGTGACATACAAGTTTCAAGGGAGCCACATGAGATATGATTGATTTAACAGAGCGTCCATCAGACCGACCTTCAAAATCCATATAAGTCAATCCACACTTAACTTGCACCTGAAATAACAAGAGAAAGTTTCAATATGTAATCTACATGAATGGAAGTCAGAATCATAAAAGGAGCAATCAACAAAATCATCTCTAGAAGAAGGCCTCAGTATGGGAAATCATTATATGACTTCATGAGTCAAATCATGAAACTTGAAGAAATCTTCAAACTTGGTTTATTGAGCCTATTTTAGGGTTTAAGAAAGCAGGAGTCCTCTAATTTATTGGCACTGATCCCCACTTTGTCAACTTCTTCACAATACCATGATCAACATGAAAAAGCAACATGTTGATAAAAAAACAGAAGTTACGAGGCTAAAATTTGCAAAAGCCACCAAAAACAAAAATAGAAGAAATAGATTCAAAACCCTAACAAGAATAATATTTTGAAACAATAACAAATAGTAATGTCCCAACTATCTGTGATCAACTTCATGTTTAGATAAGCCTCTCTTGTATCTTCTATAGGAGTTACTCCTATTGTTTGAATGAAAGCATTTCTTAGATAGAGATAGTCTGATGGTCTTATTTATTATCAAATAACTTCCGTACCAAATTAGTTAACCATTTTGAAAACACTCCATATATGGTCATCAAACTTCTTAAAAAGCACAATCATTCATAACTGAAGAAGTATACTCCAACAAAGGAAAAAAAAGAGAATGCCTATCTGGGTAATGATTATATATATAAGATATATAGTTATAGAAGCAAAATGTCCAAGGATCCAATTGTTCCATGAAGCTAAAATCAATTCCTCCAACACATCAAAGATGAACTTTATTCATTAAAAACAAACTAGGTTCAAGATCATGCCTCCTCAAAACTACAAGGAATATAGTTTGCGACAACGGAAAAAAAAGAAAACAAGTTCTGGATGCAACTTTGGGTAACTTACATGCATTCTTTCCCACAATATCAAGAGAAGCATCAGTCAGATGCTAAGGCCATCAAGACTTACTAGTTTTAATCACATAAATGCAGAACTTTTAGTGAAATAGCATGTCCAGACACATAAATTAATAAATTAAATAACAGTAAGGAGGGCGTACCGTTATTTCATTTGAAATGACTTTAGAAGGAGCTGAATCAAGGAGTAGATGTGCTGAGCCTTCCTCGAGTTTACCATCGAGATCTCCCTACAGACAGCAAAGTAATCATTGTAACCAACAAACTAAAGCCACAAAATTAGGAGAGTCGCTACTTCAACCAACTCATAACTGTTAACTAAGCCGATTAGATTCAACAAAAGAAAGTCATGATAACACTTTCTTATTAAGAGTCTTTAGATGGTCAAATTCAAAAGAGTTAACTCGAGATATAAGGACATAAATCTAGAAGGAAATCAATGAAAAGAAAAACCTTGAAAAGTCAAAATCAGAAAAGAACCAGATATTTCCACTTAAATGAGCCAGTGGAACTTAGTTGTTATAAAGCAATCTTATAATAAGAAAGCATGCAACATCAAGTTCAAGAAAAAGAGGTTAAAATTATAAAGCTAAACCAAGAATGTTGAAGAAAATAAGAACACGAAAAATTTTATGCACTGAGCTGACACGATGATGCATATGATAATATTTTTCAGAATTGTCCAAATAACCCCCTATCCAACCTGCTTGATCTGTTGAAACTTACCTGCATTAATGCTTGATCCTGGTCTTCTTCCTTCATTATGTAGTCATCAGGATTGATAACCTCACCATAGTCATCCCATTCAGCTTTTGTCTCGAAGAATGGAAACATTGGGGCAACACTTGTAGCCGGAGGGATAAATCCATCAATGAAAATGTCCAGATGCCCACTGGAACGTGAACCAGAGGCTAAAAGGTTCATTGCAAAACAAAGCACATGTTAGAGGATCCTAAGTCCTACATAAGAACAGAATAATAGTGGTATGAGCATAATGAAGACAACTGCATATGCACTATGACCATAGCAGATCATCATCGAATACTTCTCCCAAAATAACAAGATCTGAAATTAATATAGCTTGCTGCAGATCCAATAAAAACCTTGAAAATACGACAACCCGTTGAATCTGGTGTCTAGTACCTACTGACAGAAGATTTAGGTAAGATGTCCTGAAATCTGCAAGGTTGGGACATGGGAGATTGCATCCTCCAGATCCACATTTTTAGATGCATTTTAAACTCATAACCAAGGAGATATCTTCCGCGTAACCCAAATCAGTAGGAGTCTAGAATAAAGTGACAAGCTCTATCTCAAAAAATAATGTTAACTTCACAGACATCAATGTTTACATCTATTAAGATGAGAACCTAAATGAGGGTGAGATATTTAGAATACTTAGACATGACACACAAAGAGCCAAACCGGACTATGGGTACAGAGTACAGATTGTTTGATGACTTCAAAACAGCCACTTTACATTATTTAGAATCAACTTTTAACATGTTTGAAGTATTTTACCAATCACTATCAGTGGCATTTCATGTAATTTATAGTTCTAGTATATATATATATATATATATATATATATATATATATATAGGCAATGGAGACAAAAAGATACACTAGCTAATAATCTCTAGTACTTGCTGAGAATATAAAATTGCTTAAGAATCTTCCTGCTGCACCATAGTTCAGATGCAAATGCAGTCACCTCCAATATCAAAACAGATATTTACCAAAGGTTAGAGTGCATGTAACAATGAACATCCATACAAATAAATAATATTGGCTAGACATAAGACAGATTACAGTACTTGACAAAAGGATAAAGGGGGATGAACAATAATTGCAGAATTAAGATAGCCATACCACTGGAAATATGTGATGAGCTAACATCAATCACCATTGGATCAGCTACATTAGCATCTGATCCATGAGATGCCCTTAGTTCCTCCTCTTTGCTGAGAGTAACTTTCAAGGCTTCTTCTTTTTTGATTCGATTTTGCTCTTCTTCATAAGCTTTTAACTCATCACCAACTAAAGGAACCCTCTTGCTCAAAGTAACCTTTACGGCTTTGGGAGGTGGATCAACTTGTAGCATGCGAGCAAGTGTGCCAAACTGAAATATAATAGGGAAAGCAAAGAATTACAAATACAACATATGCAAGTCAGCGATTTATAGAACTTGTAAGTCAGAGATTATGCAACATACAAAACCATATATGTGCATAATTAGAAATTCAACTGAAAAAACATGTGACAAAAATATGCATAAAGTAGCAAAACAAGCATCAAATTAGTAGAACAGTCAAGAATCATTCAACTCTTTGATATCACAATTACCTATCCTACTAACCCAGTATATTCAATCTTGCTGGAACTTTTTGTAAAACCAGCAATAAAGCACACAATAATCAACAGTCTGCAGTGGTCAAGACAATGTACCTGGCCTTTTTCAGTGAAAAGCACCAGGTTCTTTGCTTCAGTTGCCCATTCAACAAATATGTCATGTGAGAAACCAACCTCCAAACTGGCCATCGATGCTAGAACAACCTAGAAAAGGCACATTAACTTCCTCTCTGAATAGAAATCATCCACTGGACAATTAAAAGAAAAACATACCTTTGGAACCTCAGCAATTTTCTCAAGCTCACTCTTATTGATTATAAGATTGACATGCCTATAAGTAAAAGACATTAGAAACTATTAAAAAAGTATAACTGCTATAAGCTGAAATTTATTATTGCTCATTAGCTGAATTGACAAAATAAACAAATTAAAGATGATAGTCTGTCTCATCAGTTCTATTTTAGTCTTATAATATTAACTAAAATCTTCTATAAATGAAGCTGTATATGTGGTGTATGTTTTAGTTTTTTTGTATGCCTTATTTGATGTGACAAAGAACAATGCACACCAAAACAATCTCTTTTTCAAGTCAATATCAATTAAGTGCTCAGACTGCCATCAGTATTGGGCAGACTGTCACAGACAAAGTTCTAAACAGGATGTTTAATGTAATACTTATGTATGTCCGTGTCTTTTTGTTTGTTCATGCTTTGCACAGCATGTAGAGGAACGGTCGAAAGCTTCACAGCCCTATTTTAGTTGGGTTTGGTGGCCTTCTTAGGCTTATAAATAAAGGTTATATCATGTTGACACTTGTGAGCGATATTCGGTCTGTAGTGGACCATTTTGACCCTTTGTTGTGCAACCGTTTAGAGCTTGTAAAGTCTGTTTGTAATTTGCATTGTCTATGAAGTGTTTTCGGAAATGTTTGCTTGTGGATCCCGAGTGAGGCGGTTTCTCTAACCCGTTTTCTCTTTTGTAGGTCCTAAGGGACCATGGGAGGTTTCGGGGAGGCTAACCTTTGCGGACGGACACACAAGGGTGCCGCATGACTTAGGCAAAACTAGCTAAGTCCGTGACAAGACGGCTAAACAGTGGGTGACCTAGCAAAGCATATGTTCCCTGTCTCTGGAAAAGTCAAGTGTATTGCTAGATTGAAAACAAACCACAAGTCTTCCTTATACACATACATTTTTTGTCAACAATGAATATGTGAATGTGGTTGACAAAGGTGAGTTAAACGGGTTCATCAGTCGAAAAATATTGAATGGAAATTTAAGAAGAAAGAGAACTATTAGGGATTTAATTAACTCTGTTTATATGCCCTGCCTTCAGTCCTATATTCGTGTCCATCATCTTCTTGCATAAGGGATCAATAACAACTATCGTAAAAAAAGGTTCAAATTTTCCATCTACAAATGATCCTAGAGCAAATGGTAATGAAGTGAAGTGTTATGTACTGATGAATATAACCACAGCGCTAATAACAAGGTCACTGGTCACTAGCATGATTGAAAACTCACCGAGGTCCAAAACTAATTCTCCTCTCAGATATACAGTTAAAAATGCAACCCTAAGAGTAAAAAATAACCACCAGATTGACATTGAAAATTTAGAATTTGGATACTAGCCATCCACGGGCTATGAGCATAATAAGGTTTTCAAGTTCAGGTAGCAAATCCAGGAACTTTAATGAGTCGGACTTCTCCAAATAATCCATGCACAATAATGACTTGACATCAGCATCAATTGTTAACTCAAAACTATATTTATGCTAAAGAGAATAATTTCTAGATAATAATGGTTAGGTTCATTGATCTAGAATTAGCTGAATATGGTTAGAGCTTAGAAGTATTAGACTCCTAATAATAATGCACAATATGTTTTGTTCAAAACAAAAGGATCTAGTATGAGACTCTTAAAGACTGTTGTCAACAAAAGATTCTCTCAAAATCATCTGCTACACGTCCTTATCTCAGCTCAATTTCTACAGTGTAAAAAAATTCCTTATTCCAATTATGACGTAATTTTCCCATCCTTTTGTTTGTTATGTTTGTAAGAAAATAAGGCATGACAATCCAAAATGAATACCCAGTTCCTGGATCAACTTGTTAAAATCAATTGGGAACACATTATTCAAGAAACTGAAACATTTTGGGTGTTTCTACTTAACTTCCTGGTGGAGGCCACAAGAAAAGACAAGACTGTCTAAAAAAGCATCTAATGAGAAGTAGAAAGTTAATAGCAATGCTAAGTCCCCCTTTAGTACAACTATTCTCATCTCTTTTTTATACTAAGTCATAATTAAGAAGCACTGATTCTGAAACAAAATGTCTGATGGTTTTCTTTTTATTGCTTCTTAAACTGTAATAAATTTTAAATATTTCTTAAAACTCTTTTTTTTAATATTTAGAACATCAGAGGCAACCTCCTTTATCACCACAACCACCACCAACCTCACTAGCACATCAGCATATATTTTTTAAAACTGCAGCATCATGACTATCACCATCATCCTCGCTTCCATCTTGCATTACCACCACTATTATTGTTGCAGTCATACGTTCACCAAGAAATGTCATAAAGCTCCCTATCAATTTAACCACTCCAAAACATAATGGCAAAGAAATCTTAATAACCAGAACAATTTATGTCTCAACTATCACCGCTTTCATATGTGATTAAAACATAGCATTATATTCCATCTTCTATATTTTATAAATGAATTTTCTTTTCATTTTGGAAGAACCTTTCATAAGGAGAAAAAAAAAATATCTACCATGGAATATTGGAGATTGGTTTCTTTTCTATGGTGGCATCTACATGGTAACCGACTTTATAAGAGAAAAGAATTATTCATTGCACTTATCAACTGAGGTTATATTGTTAACTTACCTCTCTAAATTTATAGTTTTCATGAGAAAGGGAATGTATTAAATAAAACATAAAAAACATCTAAAATCTCTAAATAATACTTCCTCCTCCCATTTATATATCATTAAACAATAGCACATATATTCGATCTGTTAAATTTTATGAAGGTTTTGTACTTTAAGCAAGTATTTGCAATCAGAAATAGGTTCCATCACTAGAAGGAAACTTATTAGAAGCTATCTTTCGGATGCTTGGCTTGACTTATCTTCCAGATAAACAATCATATCTATTTATAACAGTGATTTAAAAAGGCGCTCGGGCGCTCGCCTAGGCGCTCGGGCGAGGCGAGGCGAGGCCCGAGCGCCTCGCTAATCTCCCAGGTGGCGCGCTTCAAACAGGTGCTCGCCCAAGCCCAGGCGCTGGGCGCTTCGGGCGAGCGCTTGGGTTAACCAAGGCGACCAAACTAGGATTTTAGGTCTGGTTCGGTCCTGGTTCGGTCTCGCCTCGCCCGAGCGC